GGCACCAACATGAAATGTAAACCCAACTGTGCGCTGGGCGGGACATTAAGCAAAACCAGACTGGCGAGCTGCTCTGGCGGGATTCTGGCGGGATCTGGCGAATACTGGCGAGCCGCTCCGGCTCGATACTGGCCGGATACTCGGCAGGATCCACCGGCCAGGGATACTTGGCGGATCCACTGGCGAGCTACTCTGGGATACTCAGCGGGATACTCGGCGGGAGCCACTGGCGGGCTGCTCTGGTGGGATACTCGGCGGGATCCACTGGCGAGCTACTCTGGCGGGATGCTCGGCGGGATCCACTGGCGAGCTACTCTGGGATTCTCAGCGGGATACTCGGCGGGATTCACTGGCGGGCTGCTCTGGTGGGATACTCGGCGGGATCCACTCTGACGTGGCGGGATTCAGTGGCGAGCCGCTCTGCACGGGATACTCGGCGGGATCCACTGGCGAGCCGCTCGGCGGGATACTTGGCGGGATCCACCGGGGAGCAGCTCTGGCGGGATACTGGGCGATCCACTGGCAGCTGCTCTGGCGTGATACTCGGCGAGCCGCTCCGGGATCCACACTGGGCGGGATCCACTGGCGAGCAGCTCTGGCGGGATACTTGGCGGGATCCACTGGCGAGCTGCTCTGGCGGGATACTTGGCGGGATCCACTGGAGAGCTGCTCTGGCGGGATACTGGGTGGAAAAATCTAACAACCCCTTCCTGTCGGGTGGGGTACAATGTGTTTTATTATTAGGGTCCCTGGGTTTTGGGCCAGCACTCTTTCAGACTGCGGTGTTTAGTACTGGCATCAAACGGCAAAGGAGAACCCCTTTGCTTTGCAGAAAGAGTGTTCAAACTGCAATTTCCGAGTAAGAACTTTAAAAGGGAAGACGCCCTTGTTGTTGTTGTTTTTCTAAAACAACAACCTAACAGCTAATAAAAACCCTGGTTTGTTATCAAAGAGAGACCTGAAGGGAGCCCAATGGAGACCCTAATAGTAACACCCTTGTCACGCAGTGCAACCATTTGGTTTTGGTTGGAGGGGGAAAGCGCTCAGAATTCAACTTGTGAGAGGAACCCAACCTAATCATAAAACCCTTGTGCAGACCTTTTGCAGGGAGCCTAATGGAGACCCCAATGATAAAAAAGAATTGTCACGCAAGGCAACCCTTTGGAGTGCGGTTGAGCATTTATCCTGCTTGTTTACCTCCTTAAGTTTAAGAACGGGTCAGAATGAGCATAGGCTTCATAGGCAACAAAGACACCAAAAACGTAAAAGGTGCTCAAGGAACATCAGCGTGTTCTTCCACTAAATGGATGATTGACTATTGAAGATTGAAGAATGCACAGAAAACTTGTTTGCTTCATACGATTGAAGATTGAAGATTGCAGAAGAAACTTTTCAATCCTGAGTCAAAAAGGAACTCTAAAGTGATTGTAAAAACTTGACAATACGTTGGGGACTCGAGGGCCAGCAATGGTGGATCTTGGGTTGAGGGGTTGTTCTAGGGAATCTTGAACCTTTGATCCGGAGCAACAATAGCTTCCCGCCATGCCTGGCGCAATCGGTGATGTCACCATGCGTAGTGTGGGCCATTGAATGATAGCACGGGCATCGATTAATGACGTGTTGGTGAGTACCAGTAGCAAGGCCGAAATAAACCACCCTTTGTATGTTGAGCCGTTGCTGCGCGGCAACATTACTGTGGCGCAAGGCAGCACTTTGGTGTCTTGCTTTCAAACCCCCCACCCCATAGGTGGATGTGATCTACCACCAACCAGTTTTGAGCGGGGTCCCTTGGAGGACACTCTTTGAACATCACTTCTGCCTGCTGATTTCGAGGTTGTACGGGTGGTTGGATGTATCCTAAAAAGAGCTCAACTTTTATAGCCTATCGAATTGTGTTTTCTGGGCATTCCCGCTCCTGGCATCCTCTTTATAGCCTTGATTGGGTTCCTGTGCCAGGTGGTTTTAGCGGCTGTCCGCGACGACGGCTTGGCGCTGGAGTACGCCTCTCAAGCGCTCAGAGCGGATCGAGCACCTCGCATTGGTCACCCCTGCCGGGTCTAAATGTATTTGACTGTATGTGTCTTTGTTGCGGGTGCCTTTTGTGGTTTGGCCCTTGAAGGAAATTGAAATGACAGGAAACCAACCATTTTGCCCTATTGAGACAACCCAAATACCTTCTTGGGAGGTGCCAAAGACCCCCTTTTGACCCCCAAAAACATTCCGAAAGGGATACCGAGGACATGGATCAAATGGACTCGTGTCAAAACTTTACTCTCCGAGCCTGGACTTTAAACTTTTTGTGAAGAAATAGGAAAGACCAGTTTGGGCCTTTTGCTCAATCAACTCGGGAAACAGACCCATGATTCAAAATCGGAGAATCCCTTAAATCAACGGATTTGTTGTTGGCATCCCTTCTCGAAAATGATGCTCTCTTCAAGAAGCCAAGGAGCCAGTTGGTTGCGCTTCAATTGGTTACAAGAGTGCCCTTGACAGCCCTTTACCAGGTTTTCTTGTTGTGTGTATGTTTGTTGAGCTTTGGATTAGAACCTTTGGTTCTTGTAGAGGATATTAGGGAACCCATCCATTGTTTCACCAACATGATTCGAGCCTCCAAACAACCAAGGAAGTGGTGCTGGAGGCTGTGCAGGTCAATGGGTTGGCGTTGTGGGACGCGGACGAAGCCCTGAAGGCTGACCGCGAGATTCTGGCCACCTGCCGATGGGGATGAGGACCCGAAGGGTCCAATTCAAGTCTCCTCCAACGTGGTGTTTTACGGATGTTTCTCGAAATGGGACGCCCCTATATTTTAAGGTACACTGAATGAATATGAAACAGAATCAGAAAGTATGGTTTTAGCCAAATGTGTTTCAAGCACCAGGCCCGTCCATGTTGAAGGTAAGCCATTGTCTTTGGTAGAGCCCAAAACGAGAACCTGTTGTTGTGGGATGTGGGTGTTAGGACACCGCCAGTGCACATTTATTGGGTGATGGGAAACCGCCCCGTGGGTCACTTGGGTAAGTTTCTTGCCAGTATGCTTAATCAATGTTTCCCACCTAGGTCCACTGCACCGCACGCCCACTGAAGCTTCGTGTTTTGGGTCATCTTGAGGCAGTTTCCTCCTGGTGGTGGGATGTTCAAGGAAACTTGAAGGATCTACGGGACTCGTTCGTATTTTGTTGTTTGCAATGACCCTAGTGTTGACGCTCTTAAATGTCAAGAACGCAAGACTTTTCAATATGTTGCAACAGTCCCTACGCTTGACCCTTTGGCCAACACACGGTGAACAGACTTTACTTAGATTGTCCGGGAGTTAGCCAAATCAGTACCCCCCCTGCCGTTGACCCCACTTCCCCCCACCCTTGCAGCAAGGCGAACTCCCAGACCAGTTGATGGCCGTTTGCACGTGGCGTAAGCGTCGGCGTAGCTGCCGGCGTAGGCGTCTGATACGTCATCAGCATTACCTTCCCAACAAAAAACACGCCTCATTTGGTTTCACAATTCGACGAGAGTTTTGGCCTGGTGAGGACCACCGAGCTGCGAGCGAGCAGCGAGTACGGGAGTCATCGATTAGGATGCCGTGAGTTAGTGATTTGACAGTTGGGCGTTGGGAAGCCATGACAGCATAATCGGTCAAGATAAGAGTGTGGTTGTCGAGGCTACGCATTTTGGGTTGATTAAAGGGATTCCAAAAGGAGACTAACAATTGTGCGGGTTCCCTATTGAAAAAAAATAATAAAAACACAAGGACCAAGAGACAACCATGCGAAAGCAACCAAGATATTCGAGGTCAAGGTAACGGTCATAGCCATAGGGTTTGGATCACCCTTCAACCCTCTCAGGCCCTGATGTCCGCCAAATGTGGCCGAAACCACAGTGGTAGTTAGGTTCTAGTTTTGGGGAAACCGGGGGAAAGGCGGTGGTAGGGGAGGGGGGGTTTGGAATAGAAGGAAGGCCCCTGACAAAGTAGCCAGGGACGAGTTTCATGTCTCATAGTGGACCTGGGTGGGGCTTCCAACTTGATTGACCTTTGAGTTGGAAAACCGAGTTCTTCATTTAAGGCCCAACAAAGTCTGAGCGGTCTCTAGCCAGAAAGCTCAGCATGTCAGGGCCTGGTGGGTTCTTTGAAATGGAACCCTTTTTGGACGCAGGCGTTGTGACGCCTCTTTAATGGCTGGTTTAAGAAGGGAGGCGCGTCGATGTTCTGGTAGCAACATATTCATTGAAACTGGCTTCGCCAAATCCAACTGGCTGTTAGCAATCCGGCTTAGCTCCGCACGGCTCGGCGCCAGAGTGGGGCTGTAGCGCAGACTCTCCTGATCTCAAATGTGGAGCCCAAAAACCGTTGGCTTCACCCACAGATGGGTGGTTTCCTTTGAAAGGCTACCCTCAAAAACACGCTCATTTGAAGTGAGCTTCCCTCACAGGTCCCTTAAAATTGGGGGGGCCCTTGCCCCCCAGGGCCGAGCTGTGCCAAGTTGCCGCACGTGCGGGGAGCGAAAAGACCAGGGCGGTCAGCGATCCCAAGAAACGATCTTTGAATGGAGGGTAGACTAATTAAATGTGAAACAGCAAACACACTATACGGGTTAAGAGACCGCATGCTGTTTCGCCCATGTTTCCATTGCAATTGGGGCATCCCCTCTGATAGCCGGTTTTCAAGGGAAAGCCAGGCAAGCCAACCATTCGGGAAGGGGCAGGGGTGATTTTTCTTGTTCTTCCTGAAAACTTGAGGGTCCGATCCATTCAAGAGGGAAAGATTTTGACCTCCTGTTACCGAATAATCAACCCTTCTAGGGGGAGGAACCTTATTCATAGACTGGCACCCATCGCCATTTCGGGTCAGATATGTTTGCTTTCCATACTCAATCCATTTACTAGGGCTATGCTCAACCTAGAAACCCACAAAACTCGTGAGTTTCAGCCAGGCTGAGGGGGTTGAAGACGAACCCACATCAGCGCCACCGTTTTTTGCCTCGGCGTTGGGGCGTGGTGCACGCCAGGTGTCAGGGCTCGTGGTTTTGGCGCGCCACGAGAAGGCGAGGATCGTGTGCACTGACTGGCCCTGGCCTCGGATGTTGCAGTTGGGGTCGCTTTGAAGCCATGCAACGGGGTAAGAGCAAGGGCCGTGTTGGCGGAGAGCCCATCGCCAAAAAGGTGCGAAAATGGTGTTGATCGTTGGGGGTGTATCCCAACCATCGTTGGCACCTGGGCCGCAAATCTGGGTGGCCAGGGCAACTTTCCCAGTAGGGTGCGCTTGGTAAACCGGGCTAACCCTTGCCCAAGGGAAATTTCCTGTTGATTGCTAACAATGGCAAAACCATCACGCTCGGGAAGACGATTTGACCCTTCCAGGTTGGATGGTTCTGTGCAAATTGTTCAGGGGCAGACCGAGCTTTAAAGGAAGATAAAAGAGGGGTTTCTTAGTTTGGGGGGCAGTCATGTCAATGCTGGGACAAGTTTAGCGGGCTTCAGCTTGGGACCCCCTTTCAAACTGGGGGCTCAATTCGAATGGAGTAAACGAACGAGCTCAGCCATTCAAGGTCTTTTGCAGACTGCTGAACTGATTCAAAGCCTGCTAAGGGTGGAGAATCAGAAGTTCACCTTCGAGTTTGTGGCCATTTGCACCGGCACGGTGGAGAAAGGCGCGGAACTTGTGCGCGACGCGGTTTGAGCTGGAAGCCACACAGGACCAGTGATTTTTTAGTGATTCTTCTTAAAGGGGTTTTTTACTTTCTTTGTTACTAATCAAAGGACTCCTCCCCTTTTGGGAATCCTTGTTTGGTCCTTGATTCTTTTTCAGGGCTGCAAAAGGTCCCAATCTGCCGGGTGAAGGTCATTTCCAGTGGGGAAAGCCTTTGTCAGAGGCCGGTGTGTCCCTGTTGGATTCCTCCGCGATCGAATGTATGTCTTTTTTGACACGGCCTAACTCCAATCTGCCTTCTTCTCGAAGGATGATACATCCTTCTATGTATTAAAGTTGTTTCTAGTTTGCTATTTGTTTGAACATTTGTTGGAAGGTTGTTGATAGCATTGTGCTAGTTTTCGGGAGGGTTCTGCATTCTTGTCCACTTTACACTTCCTTCTTTCACGTTTCCTCGAAATACTGGTCCGAACAAAGGAACACTGCCAAGAGTGTTTCGGGAGAAGCCCCGCATGTTGACGTGGGGCCCAGTCTTCTTTTTCTGGTGTCCCAACGTTGGCTCAAGGCCACTACCGGCACTTCTACCTCAAGAAGCAGAGCAAAGACGGCCAGCTCCCGAGGCCTACGCTCTACGCCTCGGCCTTGGCCGGGAGGGGTCTCTTGGAGGTTCGCCTTTTGGAAGGGTCTCCTCCTCTTAAGAGGAAAGTCGTCCAGCTTTGGGGATGGTTTCCTGATCAGAAGGTTGCACTCGGTTTCCCATTTCAGAAAGCTCTGCTTTTTGTAAGGATGAATCTCCGCTGTTTCGCGGCCATAGGACGAATTTCCCGAGCGTTTGTCCCCGCACAACAGGACGGAGCTTCTGGGTTGCTGCAATTTGGGTGACGAAGTCGAAGTCCTAGTGGAGGTTCAGTGGCGTGTCCGACGTTACTTTCTTGTTTGGGCACGTCGCCTTCAACGGGGCGCTGGCGCTCGAGTGGCCCCGCGGGATTTGGTTGGGAAAAACTTGTGTGGGCCCTGCTCATGTCACTTAGGTTATAGACAGGGTCTCTAAACAGAAAGTTGTCAGTTACAGAGGCTCTTGCTGAGAGCTAATCCGTAGCTTTTTTGGTTGCTGACTTTTCAAGGGGTAGCGCATGCATCATCACCGCAACTCCACAGAATGCAAATCGATTCTTCCACGCCTGATGACCTGTTGTTTGCTTCGAGAGTGACAAGTATAGGTTGGATTTGGGCTTGACATGTGTGTGTGTGTGTGCGTGTGCAGCGTTCTTTCTGCGCCCCGGAAAACTGGCTCTTTGCACGTGAGGTACTCCCAAATTCCTTCTTTGTCAAGCTATGTTTTGTCCAAGTCGATCCATGCAGACCAACAAGCATGCCATTGCCGTTGCACTCAGGATGAAATTCCACCAGAAGCCATCCACGTCCGTGCGGCCTGGGCCTTGAGTGGTTTTGCCAATGAGGGAACCGAGGGATTGCCTTGAACACCATACAGTCTTCCAATCATTGCCAGAGGAGATGCAGCAGTTCGCTAAATGCTGGAAGGTGGTTTGCTTTCTTTCAGGAAGTCGACCGTAGGGGATGCTTGGCTTCCTCCATTTCATTGCAAGCGCTCCCAGTTGGTATTGAGAAAAATCATATTCGCGCTCTGGCCCTCCACGTTTGTTTTCCCGGTTGTCCTTTTGATTCGAAACACCAAGGACTCCACCAGTGTTTTCCCTTTTAGTGTCTCTTTGGTGTTCCTTACCTTCGGTTTTCATTTGGCTGTCTGTTTTCCTTGTAATTATTCTAAACATCAAATGTAGTCATTGTTTGCTTTGTGTTGCTTTGAGATTTTGGGCCATACCTCGGAGTCGACGTCTCTTTCGCGAGGACTATGACGACTGGCACGTGGTCACCATGGAGGTTGTGGCTTGTGCTGAGCTCGATGGCGGATATGCGGCGCTGCGCATCAGGACGCGCCGCCTCGGAAGCCTTGGGTTCCTCACCATGAAAAGCATGATCGGGCCAGGAGGGGTTTTCCCTTGTAAATGGAGGTGTCCCTTGATTGTCGACAAAAGTGGTAGCTGGAAGCACGGGAAGCGGATCATTTCGTTTGTATTCCCCTTTAGGGATGCCTCGTTGTGTGTGACCCTTCAAAAAAGAGAAAAGCAGGCACTGGGTTTTTTGCAGGACACTTTGTGGAAAGGACACTGAAACCGCAGCAGGGATATGTTGCGAATGTCCCTTGCAATGTTGACCCCGGATTTCCCGCTCTAAGTGATTTGCACAAGTTGTTTTAGGTGTATGTTGAATGGGTTTTATTTCCGAAGGGAAGGGAAAGCGAACCTCTACCACTTGTTTGGCATGTTCCTTCGAAAAAAGACACTAGTTACTGTTGTTTGTTGGTTGATATTCCGAGTTTTTGCTGCTCTTCATGGCAAGTGGGAGAAAACCAAAAAGGGTTTCTGTTGAACTGCAAACAGTGGTGACAACAGCAGGATACCAACCATTTGCGGGAGTTTCTCAAAATGGTGGATCGCAAACGGCTGGTATTGAAAAGAAAACCGAAAAGAAACAAACCATTGTAGGGGCCCCTGAGAAAACAATTAAACAAAATACTGGGCGCTTCTTGATATTGGATGGTGCGCTGAATCAACTGCTGGTTGAAGGCTCATGGACCGATGTGAGGTTCGGTCCAAAATTGCGTCTTGTTTTTGACCTTGGCTCTTGTGACGCTTAGAGACCTTATATGGCTGTTCTATTGCCAGCACATTGGCAATATGGAACCCTCTGCGGAAGGAATGTTTGGGCTGGCGTGGCACTGAAATGTCCAAGTCAAGACGACATTTGTGGTGCTCCCAAATAGGACACCTCAACTGGCAATGGATTCCACATTTGATTTGCTGAATGCAAATCGAGTAAGTCTACCACAAACCATGGTATGTATGTTGTCGTTGCCTGCTGCCAATCTTTGCGAGATCAACGGCAGCCTCCCCAGAACAGGGGTTCATTCTTTGTACCCCAAGAAAGACTTGAGCCAAAAGGTTTTGTGTTGCTGAACATCCGTCACTTCCGGAGTTGCCACCACCCGCTATCACCCTCACCGCTTCTACCACCCACCAGAACCAGCGCAAGCGCAACGATGTCAACTACACTTTGGAATTTTCAGTGCAGAAATCCCCCATTTGAGCCGGGGCTACGCGAAAGCGCGTTGGCAAACGGAAGTAGTGGTAGTAGTAGCAGCAGCAGCAGCAGCAGTAGTAGTAGTAGTTGCAGTAACAGCAGCAGTGGTAGTAGTAGTAGTAGTACTAGAAAATTGCAGTAGTGGTAGTGATAGTAGTAGTAGTAGTAGCAGCAGCAGCAGCAGGAGTAGTAGTAGCAGTAGTAGTAGTAGTAGTCGTAGGAGGCATGTGGGTCAGTGGCCTTGACTACGCCTTGGAGGCTACGCGAAGGCTACGCGCAGGCTACGCGCAGGCTACGCTGAGGCTACGTGGAATGAGCGAACTCAGTTCTGGCCGGGCCATGCCGGGCCAAGGCAAATCAAAAATACCCTGTTTCTTTGAGACATGCAAGCTTTCAACCTAAGCCTTTAGCTCAAGACAAAGGATCTATGCAGAGGCTACGCGGACGATTATCGACAGCTCGCTTTGCCAGTGGCTACGCGGAGGCTGCGCGAGGCTACGCGGTCCCAGGAGTAGGCTGCGCGGCTACCATGCCAGTTCCCCTCTCCTTTTGGCTCCTGCATTAAAAACAAAAAAAACGCGCTGCTCATTTGGCCATGAATTTCAATAGGGCTCAATATGGGGACCCCTTCAAAAGTGGGTGGCGGACATCAATTCCCGCCCAAGTGTTGGCCACGAAAGGCTCCCCAAAGATGCAAAACCATGCTGACCGAATCCGGCCAGGACCAATGAAACGGGGCCCTTCCAGGAGAGGATCCGCACCCAGCTGGCCATGCCGGGGCCCGCAGTTTGCAGTTGTTTCTTGCAGGTCCTCCAAGCGGCCGAGCTGTCTACCAAGCGGGTGTTTTACTACAAAGGCTTAGATCATTAGGTTTACAGTATTTGGAGGCCTTCAGGCCTTGTTTGGAGGAAACCAGGAAGTGGGTGGGTTAGTGTAGGAGGTTGTAGGAGGGGGTTGAGAAGAATCTGACTCTTGCATTCACGGATTCGTAGTGGTCTTGGCCGATTCTTTGCAAGGGAGCACGCGCATGACACCTCCGACTTTGGGGGACAGGTTGGTATGAATAGCATTGGGTCACACTTGAGAAGGTACTGCAACTGGTTCTGTTCCAACCTGCCACAATCCTGTCGAGGCGCAAGACCTCATTTACGGTCTGTGGGATCACAGGGCCTCTTTCGTGCCCTGTACCTTGGACTCCAAGGACGAAAGGCTGCTGTGATAGATCCTCAGAGAGAAAAATCATGATTCGCTTTGGACCTATCCCACCGAAGGTCGGAATTTGACTATGATTCTATCACTCGGCAGCTTGGTTCAACCAACCTTCAACCTTGAACTTTTGAGTGACATGCGTGTGAGGTTCGGTCAACATGTTCAACTCGCTATCCCACGACCAGGGGGCCACGAATTGATCATGCCCATTCTGAGAACTGCATATGTGTGTGTGTGTAAAAGTAGGGGGACCCCAAATGGGTGGGTTCCTTTATATGTTCCTTGATACCAACCTCCCACTCAATAACCACACTCACATATCTTGACCTACACCCTCGTCTGGTTGCATGTCCCTTTGGATTCGGGCAAAGTTGCTCACCAGCGGCGGCGTCACGGCCAAAACATCAAGCCAGCCAGCTGTTCCGGCTGTTCCACACAAGAAATCGAGCCCTCAATGGGTGTCCAAGTCTTTCTCTACCAGGCTGACTGAAAATGGTACTGGCCGCCCTTTGGACGAAGTCACCCCTTCTACCTGCCTTGGTTTTGCAACAGTTTCAACCTCTGGAAACTCAAGAAAGAGCCTTGTAGTATGATGGTTAATGCAAGCAGAACTTCACCAAGCTTCTGAATTGAGAAACTTCCATTTGTTGGATCCACTTTCCTGTGCTCTGTGCTTTTCGAGGATGTCAACTGTGCCGCATGCCACTGAGCCTGATCAGGTTGGGTGCGCCTGTCCTGAATGACAAGGCGGGTGGGAGCAAGTTAAAAGTCCATGACACCTCTCTCGATCTGTGAGATTAGCACGCAGATTCGTTTTATGCTCCTTTGCCCAATCGAGAGGCGCGTTTGAATACTCGCAATGGGTCCGAGCTTGAACCGGTTGTGGCATGTGGCTCTCGTGAGAGCTTCCAGGCGGCAACCCGCTTCGTGAACTTGAACCAGGAGGCGCGACAGAGTGATGTTTGGCCTGTGGAATACAACTTTTACGTCCCCTAGAGGGAGAGGATATCCAGAATCCCCTAAAAACTACTTTAAGACCACCCATCTTGCTGATCCCCATGGAATGTGGGAAGGGCCATCCCATTTTCCCACAGGGTTGTTTACGCATCGCCTTGATCTGTTGAGCTTCAAATGTCCGTTGAACTTTGCAAGCGATTGGATGTTTGTTCCATGTTAGATGGTCTTAGAGGGAAGCCAAAAGAGAATGATGCCCGGATTTTGTGAGACATCCCAACCCGGTTAGCAACTCCAGTTGATCCCCACTTGTCGTGCAACAAGGATTATTTGAACAGCTATATAGCTAAATCCTAAACCATCTACTGTAGGTATCAAGAAGCAAGCCTGATCCAAGGTGGCCAAAGCGGCGGGCCTGCTACCCCAACCCCGCAGCAAGCAGCAGGCGGCCTAGAAGAAGTCTGAGCCAACTCCAACCTTGTATTTTTAGGTTTCTTGCTTTTGCTCGGTTTGACCGGGTACCATTTGACAACTCTTGGAAGGTGCTGGTTGGGCTCTCAAGACTCTTGTCAGGATTCGCCAGGTCCTTCTGATTGGGATCCTTAAAGTGTTGCTTTTGGTGGCTACATGGAGTTGTCTCAGATGCCGCTTCAAAACAACCCCAAACAGGTGTACCCTCAAAAGAGGGAGGTTTCAACTGAACCCCACAAAAGTTGGAACCCATCTCAGGCCCAGCGCAATTGAGGGCCCTGTCCCTCTGAGGTCTAGACAACCTTTGAGCATCGTGCCCGGCCAAGGGCATAGCCTTGCCCTCAGCCGGGACGGGAGCGGGAGGGCAAAAGAAAGTCGGCTAGACGTCGGGGAGGCTGCCAAATGTTGTTTTGCTGGTAACACTTGCGTGCCCAGTTGAACAAGGCTGGACTTTGTCTCGCCAATCAACTCAAGAAGTGACATTGTTTGGAGCAAACATGGAGGGCTGTTCTGCATGGTCCCCAAAGCAACGGGTAGATGTTGTGTGAGGGTAAATCAGCCTGTCTAGTTTGATTGTCAATAATATCCTGTGCGACCATGGTTGGGAAACTACGTTTTAGTATGTGGCTGGCCCAAGCCAAGTGTTACTTACATATGTTGAACGTGTCAATAGTAGTCTTGATCTTGACAATAGTATTGAAAACCATTAGATAGAGGCAAGCTACTTTAGCCAGAGATTGCAACTGGGAGCTTCCTGCAGATCAACATTGAACCCAAAAACGATTCCCCGAAAAAGAGACTCCTTCGGAATCCTCTCGAACTAGTGGCCGAGGGGGATTCCATCTCAATCTATAGTGGAGTATTTGGTTACCTCGTCATGGCTCCGACACGAGCGTGACTGCACAGGCCAAGGCTTTGTACCTCCGCCAATGCTCTGCCCCCTCCCTCTGGCTGGCGTGGCTTCTGATTTCAGAAAGCAGCCTGGCGTCTCCATGGCCTCTTGCAAATAGTTCTCGATGGGCCTGAAGCTCGGGCTGATGGGCCCATTTTAGAAACGGGTCATGCAGACTCCAGCTGAATTGTGTCCAACGGGAATCTCGAAGGTGTGTCAGTCGTAGTTGGTGAAGCCCACTGAATGTTGGATGATAACTTGTGCTGGGGTATATATTTTACATACATATATATATATATATATGTATATATATATATATGTATATACACACAGCAATATACGATTTGTGTGCATGGACGGCAATATGAACATTACAGGATACAACTGGATTGAGTCCTTGACTGAATGAACGTGTCAAGTTCCCATGTTTATCCATTCTTGAGTCAGGAAAGATCTGCTTGTGCCTTGCCCGAACATCCCCATCGCCCCCGATCCGAGGCGAAGTGACCACGGCGGTGGCTGCAGCCGCCCCAATGGGCGGCGCAGTGGACGAGGAAGTGCTGCAGGGCCCGTGCGCCTTTTTGGGGCCGTTGTGGGGGAGGGGGAGGCCTAATTATTTGTCAGGTTGATCCATTCTGCGACCTGTTACAACATGGGGTCATTTTCTCAATGACCAAAACCTTGTGGATATATTGGAGTCGTGGAGGCTCAAGGAATATTCTGGAGGCTGGCCATTTCCAGCCCCCCACCGCTCTTCCCCGAGTCTTCGCGGAGTCTTCCCGCGTCGTAACCTTCCTGTAGTCTTTTGGCTTTCGCGTAACGAATCTTCCAGCGAGCTTTGCGGCTACCCGCAGCCATCGAAGTCCTGCGTCTTCCCGTATGTTTTCCGCTGTCCCGTCTTCCCGCAGTCTTTCCATCTTTTACAGTCCTTTAGTCTTTCCTTTCAGTCCTCCAGTCTCCTGTTTTCCGGTAGCCTTCCTGTAGGTGTTCCGTAGTCTCTTTGAAACCACTCTGTGGTCTTTCTGCTTTCTGTAGTCTTTTCGAGGTGTCAGATTCGATGCAGACCCTAGCTCCAAGCCTAAGAACTGCGGGCAATGGGATGTTTGCTTTGTTTTGGAGCGTCAATGCTGCTTGGCTATAATTGCTGCTCCCCCTTGAAGATCAACACACAAAAAGCAGCTCTCTGTGTATTGCACTATTGTTGGAAAGAGTGCAATTTGCAGGAAGTACGATACCCCAACACCATCTTTAGAGGAATCTCCGTTTGAGGTGACCTTTCATTGGGAGTTCCATACTTTGGCAGAAGTCGTCGGACTGGCCGGAGGTATGGCTACAAGCTCCAGCTCCTGCCTGGTGCTAAGATGGCAGCCAGCAGGCGCGAGCCGCAAGCCGCGAGCCGACTACTCGCGAGTCGGCGACTCCGGCAGTGCTGACTGATTGAGCAAAAATTGTCTAAGCAAGATCCTGGCCCCCGTGAAAGGGAATCCCAAAGGAGTTAAAGGGTGTTGAAGCATGCTTAAACAATGGGCTGGCCGAACCCCTGCTGACCTTTTACCCCTGGAAGCATCTCGTTAAAGCGGCTTATCAAAGGCTAGCGTTTTGTCAGACTCGAAACATCTCTCAGAGGAATTTCGGTGAAGCAATCAAAGCCACAGAGAAAGGTGTGGGCACCGTCCCGACGACAACAAGAAGCTCTGATGATTCGTTATGGGTGTCGGGTACGATCCTTTCACAACGGATTTTTGTAATGACTCAAGGAGTGCAAGGTCGTTGTTGCTGAGGCTGAGAGGGGCTGCGCTGGGCCCAGATGTCTTGATTGAAAACACTGCTGCATGTAGGCATCCTGTGGAGGATTCAATCTGGGCAGGTTGCAACAAGCTACAACTGTGGGTAGCTTGCCCATGATTAAGGTCCCTTGAGTATTCGTGATGTTCACACAAGGTTCAAAAAGACCAAGCCTCAAGTCGGTGGTTTCCTTTTGTTTCCCTTAAGCTTGCCAGGTTGCTCTGGTGCCAGGGAGTTCGGAGCAACGCATGGGTGTGGAATGGCCACTCTCCAGGCCTTCTTCGTGTGCTTCCGCGCATGTATTTCCCGCCGGTACTTGTACCATCGCAACCTCAAGTAGCGAGAAGGCCCCATGCTGGAATAGTTTGCATCCAACGCAAGAAGCGGGAATACCAGCAAAGTGGAAACACTGTGCAGGAGATGGGCAAGCAGCTCGGAGTTCACAAGAGTGAGTATTGGCGCTAAGTAGTGCGTAGTCGCCAAATTGTGCGCAAAGAAACCACACACGAATGTGTCAAATGAATTGTCCGTGGAATCGAAACTAAGATGTGCAAATATGAATTCAGCATGTTTGGTTTTGGCATGGGGTTGGGCAGAAACAACATGTGGTTGTTTCAAATTTCGGGGATCCCCAAAATGTATGTGTCCTTCAGGTTGTTCTTCAAACCGAACCAAAAGGGATTTCATGGAATTATCTAAGGAAAGAGACACCCAAACGTGTTGGGGAGCTGCCTATGCCATCTCTCACCGCCGCCAGGGGTATTCCCCAGACACCTATGGAGAAGGCGCGGGGCCAGTGACTGTACGCCTTGTACTGTTGATAGACAGAACACTGTGCTTCATGCCGGTTGTCCCTGTCCAGTGGTGTTCCCCCATGACCACTACAAGAGGCAAGCGAGGACCGTTATGTCGTTTCGACAAGACCTTTGAGATAATCCTGGAAGAAAGCCTTGACCGCATATAGAGGGATTTCGGGTGACTACAGTAGCTCTTTGGGCCAGCTGGGAACGTTGAGCCATGACCAAGGAATTGCTGAGCATGACCAGATCTGTTTGCAAGCATGGGCAGGCACAGCCTGTTCGACCAAACCACGTGCTACTTTCTGGCTGATCTACTTCAGATGCAAAAGACCCCAGACGGAACATTGGCCCAACCCAAACAGGGCATCCTTGTGGGAGCAACTGGATGTCCCGTGCAGCCTGTTTGGTGTTTGGTTCATGCCAAATGCTCCCTCTTTTGTGACTCATGCGGGCAACATGGGTCCAGCTGGGTGCAATGTGGAGACTGGAGCAATCAAGTTTCCCATTTTTTGAGGAAGTGAGTGGGGCTTTGAGTGTTTCCACTGCTTGGAACATAATTGTACGTATTATCTTAGCTTGATCCCCAACGTGTAAAGCAATTACCAACCAGAACAAGGATCAGTTGGATTGCGGATTGTGATTGGGCACTCCAGGAGTTCGATCAGGCCCAGGCTAGATTGCATCTATACACACACATGGTGATAGAAAAGCATAGTATAGTATCGGAAGTTATGTTATATTACATGTACGTCAATTAGAGAATAGCATTAGTATATCAAAACAATGGTCATTCTATTGCACCAACAAATTACATTGTATTGAAGCAAATCACATTGATTGTAGTATGTTATAAGTTATTATTTACAATTAGATTGTATTATGGGCTCAAAATTGTACTGGCGTGTTTTGCTGTTATTGTATTGTATCGATTCCCATTAAGTACATTACATTGTATTATGGTATGGTATTAGTATGGTATGTTATATTATAACATTGTAATGTATTGTCAATTATATTATAGGTACATTGTATTAGTATCTAGGTGCATTGTATTAGTATCTACGTATATACTGGTATAGTTATATAGTTATACGTGCATGTATATATATATATATACGGAGGAGGAATATATGCATACGTATGTATATGCATATGTATTTATGCCGCCGCATATATATATATATATCACGATACACCCTTCTAGAAGATACTTTATACAATCGGGTGCCCTGAGCCTCGTTGGCAGGTCCCAGTCGCCCTGCACTTGGCACGCATGGAGTTCATGGGCCGCGTGTGGACCCCGAGCGCTCGCGGACCGGTCGAAGGAGAAGCCATGAGGCGGATGCATTACGCCCAATCGAGCGCCCAAGACTCCAAAAGGGCCATTTTAGGATCTTAGGTGGTTCTAGCAAGAGGTTGTAGTTAGGCTATTTATAGCCATGCTGGTAGAACCAAAAATCAGGGGGTGTCGAGCTGCTGAATCGAGAACGGTCTCCCAAATCGTTGGTTGCGTCAATGCAGCCAGGTATGTTTGATGTTTATCAAAGCGGTCAACTCCAACTGCACCGGGGTGAAGATAGATGGCACAATTCACAGCATGTAAGGGTATACTCTAAACCAGAACAGGGGAATTGTGCCATGTACGCGAACCCTAAAAGCAATCCACGATTTACCAGGGTGCTGTGGTTGCATGTGGTTGGTTCACTTGCATTGTGAAGGGCACAGTAGTTGCGCAGCAGCTCGGGCGCCAACTTGATGACTTGGAAGTGATGAATCAATTGATTTCAGTGTTCATGTATTTGTGTTTTCGATTCACGATGCTGTTGATGAACAAAATCCTGCAGCTGGTAGGTGGTATATCCCATGAGTTCCTTTGTTTCGTCCATCCCAGGTGGTGCGAGTATGGCTTCATCCGTCAATTGTGTGCTGCTTGCCTGAGCCCGGAAGCACGCATCGGCCCAGGTGATTACGTGCGCTCCGCCGCCATATTGGCCTGAAGGCATGGCTGTTCTTTGCTCCAGGTGTTGCTGACACCTTGAAATCGAAATGTCAAGACTTGCAAACTGGGAGAAAACCGACTGTTGGTGGATGTGGGATTGGGTTTGTGTGTGTGTGTGTGCATCTTTTGTTGTTGGTTTAAAAGGAACACAGATGGACACCCCCCTTTTTCAGGGTCCCCAAATTGTCTCCATGTGGGCCAGCGCACAGATGCGAGTGAGTCGGGTGGCTAGGCGCAGCCGCGGCCGTGGCAACGCGGCTGACAACAAAAGATGCCGGCTGCCTAGCCTTGGGTGATTCTCCAAACATGGGACGCCTATATAAATGGTTGGTTTCCCTTTGGCTTGTCTTTCAACAAATCTTTAAGGGGGTCAGTTTGGAGAAACTCCCTTCCCAGTTTGCATTGAGAAAGTGTGCCCCTTTAGCTTGCGTCTATTTGGAACCTGGAAGGTCAAGGGTCTTGGTTTTGTTCGATGCAGGTGCAGATTTGGAAGATGTGGGGTTGGCCCAGCGATAAAAGATCCCAGTTGAAACACCTGCCATGACACAGTTTGGGTGTGGGCCAGATTAGATGGTTGTTGTGTTGTGCATTGCAAACCTTAGTAACGAATGCAAAACCCTTTTGCATCCCTGCACCAACCAGTTTACGCCTCACGCCTAGTCATATGACTTTTGCTGAAGATACGTAGTTGTGGCCTTGTGGGTTTATGTCAATGTCATTTTGGCCCTGTTGGTTTTGAAAGGAAGCGGTCATGTCCCAATGGATTATACATGTGTTGTTCCCGCTCCAAACATGCAAATGGTTGTGGGCGAAGCTCCGTGCTGGCTGAGATCAAGTCCAACATCATGGACTTCCTGGTGCTTCAAGGCTTTGGAAGGGGGGGTGTCCAGTTCATGTCATTTCCCGACCTGGGCCAATGACAATGCGACCTCCTTCTGGCTTTTGCTTCTAAACGCAGTGATGCTTTTGCTTTCTTCGAGAACCCTGCTGAACACAGACAGCTTGCCTCTTCCCTTCACCTGCTGGTGCGAGGCAGTTCCAGAGTTCAATGGTTGGGAAGCAATGTCCAGGTTTTTATAAGAATGCTTCCCCAACGGCCTAATTTCTGAGATCTTAACAGTTGGTACGGTTGGTGTCTTGAATGGCTTCTACAGCTAGTAAATGAATATTACCCACTCGTCCCCTTTCACTTTCTCTTTCTAGCTCTCACAGATAGTTTTGTTTTGGAGTGGTGTGGGGTTTATGAGGTGATGCCAATGGAAAAGCTCGCCAGTCAACGGTGTAGCTCATGAAGTCATCTGCCTTTCCTCTCTGTTCCGCACTCCTTTCTTTTAAGCAAATCCTGTGAATAAAGCATCAAAGTGAGTGACAAGAGGAGCGTGCGGCTAGGAAAGAGATAGGCCCAGCTGTGTATTTTTTGTGCGCCTTGTTAGTTTCATTATAATGTTTTCCCTGGCTTGGGACCCACAATCGAAATGGGCCTGCCGGTGCAAGCGTTCAAGGCATTTCACCAATTGGACAGAAGCCAGTGAAGAGGCATGACAAGCCAAGCGGGAAAAAAGGTGAGTTAATTGCGTGATCTTTGGCTGGCCCTTTACCAGCAGAAAGCAAAAGGCTTGGGCAAAGTGCAAGAGCCCCAGAATGACTTGTGTTCAAGAGTTGTCCTCCCACCACCCCTCTCGGCTGAGAAAAGCCGACCGTGAAGCTTCCCTGAGACCACTTCGCAATGCATTTAGACAAACCCTGGGCCAGGTTGCTGATTGTGACTTCTATTCAAGATATTCATTCAATTCTAATATGGCTGTGAATTTTGGTGGGGATCCACCTCAAACTGTGGTTGGTGAGCATGAATCCCCACCCTAAATGATGTCCACCAAGGGGTCTCTCAATAAAGCATCACACCAATACACCGGAGGACTTGCAAAGCGGCCTTGAAGCACTTTTTGGAGGCGTCAGGGGGAAGCGTATTATTTTGCACATGGGAGTCTCAATTTATACTAATTTGCACACGGTGTCCTTTCCGAGTACCCGTTTTGGGGGGATTTGGCTTGGGGACGAACTCATTTTGAAGGGAAGGAAATGGGCAAAGCACCAGTCTTTCGGGAGCTCCCAAGTTGAAGAAGTTAAGTGCATTTGCAGGAGGATGGTCGACAATCCGCGTGATTGGCGGCAAGTTCGGAGTGAAGGCACGGCAAAAGTGGGAGAGACCAGGTTCTTCAGTCATTGCATTGAGGCTGGAGCTTTAGGAAGCTAACTAGGACAGTCAATCAGGCAAATTATGGCACCGTCGCGACGGGGTGTGCGTGTTGGACGCCTTTCATAGGGATCCCCTATCTTCGGTTTGTGAGTTATAAGTGGCCACCCCCTTCCCCTCCTGGGTTCCGCAAGAAAAAGTCTCAGACCCGTTCCAAAAAACTTGTGAGAATGGTCCAGCACCTTTCTGGTGGTGGATCTCTCCATGGCTGACGCATTTCTTCTCATGTTTTGATGGCTCCCCTCCTTTTTGTGAGCAACTCTGCAAGTTGTTAGGCAACGCCCCGGAAGGGGCATGCTCATGCCGGATCCTTCTGTTGTTCGTTGGCATGTTCCATGCTGAGTCTCTTGAACGCCTAAATTCAACACATTGCCATGTGCAATAAAATGTTAACTTCAAGTTGAGGCTATTGTTACGGACCCGCCCTGCATGAACAGGGGCAGGTTCATTGGTGAGGTGTCCACCACATTCGGTACTTTCCTGCCCGCACAGAAATGCCGCATGATGCCTTTCGGTTGAGATGCACCTGTTCATCTTGTGACCTGCAAAGCGTGGAACCTTCGGCCGGCTGAACGCACATCTACAGGAAAAACAAGCATATCTCTCTCTATCTCTCTCTCAGCAACAACTTCCGCGCTTTCATTTGGTTTTCAGGTCTAACCTATGTCATTGTTGGTTTCAGGTGCTCTTTCCATGTTTGGGATTGTGTTGCAGGCTGACTCACTGCCTTTGCGATTCTTGTCCACTCAAAACTCACAGTGGGTGTCAGAAAGGTAGAAACTCTGGTGCAAAAACGCGCAGAAATCAGAAGCAATATCCACTAAGCGAGTACAGGCGTTAGACCTTGGTTGAAGCTTTGAGGCTTGCTGGTCATGCCCTGGGCCATGGGGTTGTCGGGGTTGTTCACTCCCTCCTGTCTCAGTTCCCAGCTTCCAGGAAGCGATCTGAAGTGTCAGGCATTCCATTCTGTGTCAGGTGGACTGGCTGGAGAAGCACTTCCCAGTGCTCCGATCCAAGAGCCGGATCTTTGCCTCTGCGGGGTCCCCAAGATGTGGGCGTGGAGGAAGCGACGATTTTGGGTGCTTTGATTCGTTGGAAGGAAACCCTGGGCAAACTCAATCTCGACCTCTAGGAAAAGGCGGGGTTGCGACCACACCATGTCAAAGGCTCTTACTTTTGTGGTGTTCGTGTTTTGGTGCCCCCTTGGTTGAGTTGTTTGCAAACCGCTGACCCAATTCTGTCTTGACGTTTTGGCAAGATTGTTCACCCCCTTTCTTGTTGGCTGGATGATGCTGGTGCCCAGGAAGATATCCCCACAGGTCAAAGTCCTATTTTTTTAGGTGTCCCCCGTGAGGAGGGCACTTCCACGACTACTTGATTGGTGCTGCCGTGGGGGGGGGGGGGGCGCACTGGGCCCAGTCTCACTCGACATTGTGGGTTTGTGGGTTTTGGCAGGCGAGGCTCGCTTTGTTTGTGTCGTGCACAGGAGCAATGCCCTTGACACACTGAGGAGTCTGCGATGAAGGAGTCCTGCCCTTGGTGTCAAGACATTGGGTCGCTCTTTTGGGCGCGCCCGATCTAAGTTGGACCCCCTTTTTGCAGAGGAGGGTGTTTTTTTTTTCAAAACAGGTATCCCTGGGAGAGAAGCACGTTTATTTGGGTAGTGTGAAGCAGAAGCAAAAAGCCTCGAGAAACACAGAACGAAATTCCATCCAACCCCCCCCCCCCCGCGTCTGCATTTGTTTGTTTTCTCTGGGGTTGTTTAATTTCGGTGCAACAACAAAATAAGACTCGAGACAAACAAAGCAACAACAAAGAGGCAAAACAAGACAACCCAGCCCACCAGGCCCCTTTGGGTCTGCTAATTGTTTTTGTTTGGCTTAATCAAGGTTTTTGCTTGGGGCAGAAAGCCCGAAAAGATCGGGAAACCACAGCAAAAACGACCCCAAGTTGTTGGTTGTCCTGATGTGTTTGCATTTGTTGGGAAGGAAGCCCTTTCCACAGAAGTTGCCGAACATTTGGTCAAAATTTAGATGCAATTTAAGAAGGAAACAAGTCAAGCCATTGTTTCTATCTTAAGCTAAAGTTTAAGTAGGACTTCGGAATTCCTGTCCAAGTATTTGTCGAGTTGAAGGATTCGCTAGTTAGCCCATATAAACTATTTAAAAAAAAAGAAAAAAAAAAAAAAAAAAAAAAAAAAAACTCAGTTCTGTCGGAGTGCAAGTTTTAAATGTAAGGCGTAAAGTATAGACTAAAAAAACATAAATAAATAATGATTTGGAGTTTACGGTTTAAATCATAGATTATCTACGATATCCAGCTCAAATACCGAAATGTAGGTGAGTTAAACTAGAATTGACTGAGGGCAGAATTTGATTAGATTGTTTATCAGCATAACGTAAAGCAACTGAAACTGCATCATCCTTGAGTTTCTATTCGATGCTCATATTCGGAAGGGAATGTCTGTTTAAACGTCAGCTTAAGATCTACTTAAACTGTTTCCTTATCGAAGGTGATTTGAAGTCTAAACACATGTTAGTCAATCTATTTCAAAGGCAATGCAAATCCCTTTCCTCAAATGCACGAGATTGTTATTTTCCAAAAACACACGAACACAGGGTCGCAGAGAAAGAAGATTCCTCCAAACAGGAAAGTTTCTTGGGTTCCTTGGAGATGTGTTGCAATTACCCAGATAGAGAGGGGCTACCTTGCCGAAGAATGACCACAGCTAGCTCATGTCCTGGCGACTTCTTGAGTTGTTTCTCAAAATAGGAGTCCCCTAAAATGGCAGTTTTCTGTTGGGTCCCTTAATTACAAACCATCAAGCACCACGCCATCTTGAAACTCCTGTATGAAGTTTGTGTGCTGCAACCTGTCCAATTGGTTTCTGGCGCTGAGGTGGGAAGCTGAAGAGCGCGTGAAGCGTGGCAAGAAGTCCTGGGGTCTTGGAATCAGAACTCGGCGAGAGAAGTGCTGCCGGCTGACTTGGCTGCACGGGACTGCCGGTCTCAAAAAGAAACTCCTCCAAACAGAGTGGTTTGGGTTTCATGTCGTAATTTGCAAGGGAGCAAATTCGTCGCTTTACAGTGCTGGATGGCTTGGGATGTCACTTGAATGTGCCCACACACGTCGCAATGCACAGCTGCCACGTCAGATTCCGCCACGAAGCATTGCTTGTTCCGACACAAGGGCTGCGCTAGCACAGCTGTGGAGGGTCATGCTTTGTCAAGCACCCCTCTTCGTGAGCTTTCCTGGCAGCCCCATGGGTACCAGTTTCACCCCACAACTTGCTTGCTCTTGGCACGGAAGCTGAAAGAACATTCCACCGCTCCCCTTAAACAACCATTCACGCTAGGAGGCGGAGCGGATCCTTCCCATATCATACCCAAGTTCACGAGCAAGAAGAAAGCAACGGTGACTGCAACCGCCCATTCCCGTATTTCCCACTGAGAACACTCCAAAATCTACTTCCATTGCCAGGCACAAGAAGAAGATGTGGCAGCTCCGGGAGAGGTTCTTGCCACCGGAGCAGTGGGGCAAGCGAAAGCTGCCCTGGCCTCTTGGCCCAAACCAGAAGCCAAAGGTTGGAGATGTTTGCCCCAGAAGCCAACCCCGGATTTATTATATACGTTCGGATCGGAAACATGCACCAGCATATATTATATATATATATATATATTTATACACATGTGTACCTCACATGGCAAAACAAATGTTGAGTGTCGAAACAACTGTCTCCTCAACCACGAATACAAATAGACTTACAAAACAAAAACGAGGGAACAACCTCGAGCGCTCAGCTTTCTGTAGGCTAACAGCCTGCCCTGCAACTCCTCCGGCAACACCTGCGCAACAGCGCCCGACAACGCAGAGTAAAAGTGTCTCACACGCCAGCAACAACCTGCAGCCTAACACCAAACGGCACGATTCCCAGGCCCAACGCCCTCCAACGGCACCCTGCAACTGGGATGCGTGGTGGCGTGTGCGCAAGACCCGTTGCTTCGCAGCGTGGGCACTTGCTGCGCGGGTCGTCACCTGAGAGCACGGGCTATACTCCTAGGCGGGCCTTGCGTACGTTGGCTCCTGCCGGGACAGCAAAGTGATGTATGGACGTGGCCGGGCGGTTAGTGCGCTGCGTGTGCGTGTTTCGCTGCTGCAGGAGCTGCTGTGGCGTCGACTCTGTACTTGGCGTCCCTGCGGCATCGTTTGCTCAATGATGTGTCCAGTGGTTTGTATCACTGGCCGCCAGCCTGTGTAGCCATGTGCCCAGTAATCGTGAGGGTTGGCAGGTGTGAGTGCTGTGCGGTTGCTGCGGTTGCGGCGTTGTGATAAGGTGTACCTGTACATACAAGGAATCTCTGTGTTGCAGCCTCAGGAACAGCAGGTTGCAATGCGTCACACCCATCCGCTCTTTGCTTGAATTCGAACCCCCTACAGCTTCCTGCCATTTGTAGTGGTTGCGTGTGAATACATTCATTCCCATTCGGGGGAGAGTCCGAACTATAGTGTTTAACAAAGACCTTGAACAAGACATGTCAGCAACTGGATGCCCTAGAGCTACAAACAAGAATGCAGTGGAAGAAGCTTCAACACAAAAACGCACATTTTTCTTAGGTACTTGAAAACGAGGTGACAAAAGTCCTTGACTTGGCTCAAGTTCGTATTGTAGCTTTTGGAATGATTGTAGAATGTGCAAATCAGTGGCAATAAATTCCATAAGTGGGTTGTAACCAGGTTTCCCACCGCGATTTGCCTTACTGAGGTTCAAGGAGATCAAGCGAGGCCTGGCCAAGCCCGTGGACGACTACCTGGGACGAACGAATCTGTAGCTTTGATTTCCTGCTGACCAGCGCATGTGAAAAAGGCGGCGCGTAAACCCAACGAGAATGGATGGTGTCCTTATTGGTGTCCTTTTCAATCGTCCAAAAACGAAGACACCCTGGCTGCGAGTTGCAAGCAACATACTATGTATATAATCTTAAATTCAAATATGAACAATTATAAGGTTAATTTTGAATAAGGTAAATAAAAAATATATATATTTAATATAGGATTATAATATCATGAAAATGTTTCTAATTTTAATATAATAAAATATTGTTTATATTATATAATGAATGATTTGGTTTTAAATAATAAAAATAATATTTATTATAATAAAATATGTTGGCAATTGTTTTGTTGAAATATTATATAGTGGTATTTATGGTTGGATGGTGGTTTGTATGTTGTTTTAGAGTTGATATGTTGATGGAATTGTTTAATATATTAGATAGAATAATTATATTATAAATGATATTGGAATTAAATTAATTATGTTCGATATATATTTATGATAGATAATTTGATAATGTGGATGTGTGTGTGTAAAAGGTTATGATACAATTTGAAAAAAAGGATAATTGTGAATATTATATTTTGTTTATGATATTTATATAAAAATAGGTATGATATATTTTGGAATGGGCTTGTAAATAAAATGAGAATTTGAATAAATTGTATATAAGAATACAAATTTGGGTGGGATATATTTCTTTTTTCTTTGAGAGGATGGGGGTTTATTTACTTATTGATTGAATTTGTTTTGAATGATTATTTGTTATCTTAGACTTTGATATAGTTGAATTAGTAATTGTGTAATACCAATTTAGGGATTTTGGATTGAGTTGTTGAGCTTTGGTCTTGGCTTTTAATTTGGGTTGGGGCGGATGGGATTTATTTGGGATTAATTTTGAAAGATTGTTTTAAATTCTTATTTTGAAGGATTTTCTTGAGAGGGTTTCTTTTTTAAGGTTTTTTTTTTTTTCCTGAAAGGTTTTTGGTTTGAAGGGGTTTTTTTGAGATGGTTTTGAGAGAGGTTGCCTTGAAAGGTTTTTAGTTTGAAGGAATTTCTTAATAGAGTTTTTTGGTTTGAAGGATTTATTTAAAAGGATTTTTATTTTGAAAATTTTTTTGAGATATTTTTAGTTTGAAAGGTTTTCTTATTAAGGTACAATCTTTATCTTGAGTATTTTATTTAGGAAATTGCTCAGCGATTTGGTTTACCACCTTTGGTGGCTTGAGCGCTAGGCTGGGGGGGGAGGGTGAGTATTTATTTAGGTTTCTGTTGCGATATGAGTGCAGACGTTCTTGGAAAGCTAAACGGTCCCGGAATGGGTTTGGAGATGTGGCCATTGGCACGGTCGTACGAAAATTTCGTAAGGGTAAAAATTGCATAACAATCACAATATTTTCGCAAGGTCAAGTATGAATATCGTAGCAAGCATAACCATTTTGCAAATTCCGGATAAATATTGAGAAAGATAGATAGACAAACAGATAGACTAGATAAAAGTAGATAGTTCGAGAAAAAAATAGATATATAAATAATTAGGGGGATATAAATGGATAGATAAATAAGTAAATAGCTAAAAAGGGAGATAAATAAATAAATAAATAGGAAAATAAATAAATACATAAGTAAGAATAACAAATAGATAAAGAAAATAGCTCGATAAGTAAATAATTAGATATATATATATATAAATAAAAGATTTTACGAAATTAGTGTAAAACAATAACTACAAATATATCATTTTTATGTTATCTATTATTTTAAATTTCGCTTCGAATTAAAACAATATAATAATTACCCAAATATTTATAATGCCAAAATATAATTCGAACTAAAATTATCAACAATCCATATATCTAACCGCAAAATCCAAATCCCATACACAAAATCATCCAAGCCAATTCATAATATAAATTAATCCAATAACACAAAAATCTATACATTCCTAAATTATAAATAATTGTAGTATTTATAATCGAACCAAAAATATTATATTTTCGATTATATCCAATATACAATATTTATAATAATTCAAATTCACATAATCCCAATATTATAAGAATAAAAAAATCATCGCAATTATTATAATATAATTTCATTCCAAAAAATATATATCAAAAAAGCCGACCAAACCAATAAACAAAAATATCAACAAATAAATCTAAATTATAATTCTATTCCTTTTTCTTATCTTAATGTTTATTCTTTTCATCTTCCTTTTCAGTATTTCTTTTTATTTCCTCAATCTTTCTTTCTATTTTTCCTTCTTTCTTTGTTTCTTTTTATCTATCTATCTATTTATCTCTCGATCTATCTATCCTTCCTTCCTTCCTTCCTTCTTTTCTTTCTTTCTGTCTTTCTCTCTTTCTTTCTCTTTCTTTCTCTTTCTTTCTCTTTCTTTCTCTCTTTCTTTCTCTTTCTCTCTTTCTCTCTTTCTCTCTTTCTCTCTCTCTCTCTCTCTCTCTCTCTCTCTCTCTCTCTCTCTCTCTCTCTCTCTCTCTCTCTCTCTCTCTCTCTCTCTTTCTTCTTTCTTTCTTTCTTTCTTTCTTTCTTTCTTTCTTTCTTTCTTTCTTTCTTTCTTTTTTCTCTCTCTCTCTCTCTCTCTCTCTTTTTCTCTCTCTCTCT